GATTCTTCTGTTTAAGAATGGCTGTTGATAAGTCATCACCTTTTGAACTAGAAAGAGAAAATGAAGTCAGCCCCAATACATATTCCAGCCCCAGGAACCCCACCAATTTCTAAAACTCACACTAAGAAAGAAATAGTGAATAAATGAGGCTGTCCCTACATCAGAGAGCTCAGATGAAGGAAATTCAGCCAAGGTCATCAAGAGTAATTACCTAGCATATATTACAATTCCCATTCCAGTAGCTCTTGGTATTCTGAGCACTAGTATCCTAGCTGTAAAGCCCAAGGATCAGAAAACTATGGCTTAAAAAAATTAAATAGAAGTGAAGACCAAGTACAATTCGGGAAATGAAAATAGTCTTAGGATAGAATAGTGATTAAGAGGAGGGGCTCTGTAGTCAGAATCCCAACCCTGCCATTACTTAACTCTAATCTTGGGCAAGTTATTTAACCTTTTTTGGAAGCTGAAGTCCTAATCTGTAAAATGGGGATATAGTACTGCCTACCTCAGGATTACTGTACTGAGATAATAAATGCAAACGTTCAACACAATGCCTGGCATTTGGTATTAATGGTGACTATGACCAATTAGCACTGCAGAACAAAGCACAAGCCCTTTCTTTGCTAACCTTCTTGCAGAATGAAGTTAGCTAGACAATTTCTCTTGGGCTCAGAGAGGCCTCAAGTCCCACTAAGCAAGGCTGGGGACAATGAAGCAAAATTAGCACTATCCTCCTTTACTGGCTAAACCTGCTGAATGCCAGAGCTTTCTATATACCACAGAAATGCTAAACTTTACGGTCATATTTGAAAAAAACACTAACATCTAGAACCTTCAGAAAGAGGTTCAAGCTCAAAAGGTAATCTCTGTAAAGACAGACACACAACTCTATGGAGTTGGTTCAAAAAGTCAAAACCGTATGGCCAGAGTGGCTCAATATTGTCTTGTGCACCGTAAGGTTGCCCGTTCAATTCCCAGTCAGGGCTCATATGGGAGGCAACTGATCAATGTTTCTCTCTCACATGGATGTGTCTCTCTCTCTTCCTCTCACTAAGCATGTCCTGAGGTGAGGACTAAAAAAAAAGCCAAAATCAAGAAATGCTGAGACATGGCAGCAAATCCAAATCCCTCTCATCCAAATCAAAGTTGCCTGAGTCTAAACTGGGTTTAAACTGTCCAGTTTCAATTATTTCCTGTAAGTTAAGATCATTTACCTGACACCAATTTCTAACCTAGCTTATCTCTAGCCTTCACTAACTAAACTTGATGGACTCTTCCTTTGAAGCGTTACCTCCTCTTAGTAAGGCTCAGGAAAACATGTGCATAACCAACTAGGGAGACCAGACAATGGCAGAAGCTAAGAAATAAATAAAAAAAGAATGTCTTTCATGAATTATTTCTTCATTCAACAAATTAACGAGTATATGTATTATGTGCCAGGCACTGTTCAGGGATCCAAGGGTACATCAGTCAACAAAACAAGACAAAATAGTATGCCTCTTAGAAATATCTTCACAACTTATAAGAAAAAGGGAGGCCTATGCTCCAGAATACCTGCTGTGTACTTATAGGGTTTTATATATCTTTTAGTCTTGATACACCCAAGAGAAATACAAATCTCATTCATCTAATAAAGTTGTAAACTTTCTGCTGACCCTCTCACATAGGTTGCATCTTTAATCATCACCTTTAAACTAGTTTCCAAGAGTGTAGTTTCCTAGACTTAAACTTGCCTCCACCAACCCAAAAGTGTGAGACATTGGGCATAACAGTGCAGAGCAGACAAATTTTCCCAGGGCTTATCAACACCCTGGAGGGCAATCTCCGTCAATATGACAGCTGAGGGTGATTTAAACCCATCAATTCTCCCTCTCCCTCACATTTCAAAATACTCTCCAAGGGCTGTCCATCCTCCTGCTTAATCTATAGGTCTGGAGCTGGAGCAAAATAAAATGGCTGTTGCCTCTAATCACCATAGTTGAAATCTAGGAAAACCTCCCATCTGCCTACCATTCCTGACCCTGGCATTGGAGATGAGTGGTATGCTCTTCCCTTAAGATAAACACCTTTAATGTCACATCTATTCTACTAAGATCAAAGGGAGGAATGTCTAAAAGAGAGAATTCAGCTTGATAATCACCCAACAGCAGTCCTGGAGGCTCTTTGGGTACACCTCCTATTGTCTTCTGCATGAGTCAGGCCCTTTCCAGAACCCCAATGGGCTACAGGGGACTAGGAGGGAGTTCAGTTAGGAGTCATCAAGATGACCTAGAGGTTGGAAAGCATGTATGATGCCAGGTTCCAAGAATTTTGGATTTTTATTTTTAGTCTTGAAAACAAAAGACTGGATAACCTAAGGGATAAGTGGTCCTTCAAAACAGGTGACTGTGTAATACTTCATCTTGACTCAGAAACTTGAATAAAAGGAGCATACCAAAAAACAAAAATCTCTCTTTAAATCAGGAAGGTGATTTGCATAGAAGAGTTCCCATAGGATGGCTGTGTCATCCGCGTCCCCCCTCCCCCAGTATGTAAAACACTTGATTCTAAATTCAGTGGACATAGGTGGCCAGGTTTTATCTGACGCTTTTCTCAGGCGTGGAGGGCCCAAAATTTCTCAACACAGCAGCTTGGGGAGAAAAAACCATGTGTGTTGGAAGAGTTAGAGCAACCTTCACACCACAAAGGCTGAAATCTAGGAAGGCCCAGAAAATAGGAACTCAGATTGGAAAGATATAGCAAGAACCTAAAATAGAAAAGAAAGGAAAAGTGCCTTTCTCCCTACGCCTATTTCATTACATCAAGGAAAACTGACTAAAGCTTTCTTTTATGAATAACAACTGGCCTAAAGTAGAAAGAAGGCCAGAGCGAAAAGCAGGGCCCACTCTCTCCCTCACTACTCAGGTGGCACAGGATGCTAACCACCGCCCAGGCGGACCCGGCTGCAAAAGTGTCGTGGTGAGCTTCCCTGAGCTCGCTGGGCCTTCCCCCGCTCCGGCCTCCGCCTATGTCGCCGGGCTCGGAAGGCCTTCACGGGGCCCAAAGTCCACGCCCACCGGGCCCAGTTAGGGCGTTGGGGCCTGCTCTCTCCGGGAACCAAAAGCCTACAGCGGGTGGTAGGCTGAATCGCTGGGGGGCGCCCCAAGGCCTCAGGGCTCCACGCCGGCAGTGTGGGCCAGCAGACCTCACTAGGCCGGCACGGCCGTTCCAAGTGAGACAATCAGGCCGGCTGGGGCCTGCATGACACAGCACGATCTGGCCCAGGCCCCGACCCGGGCCCAACGCAAACCCCGCCTAGGGGGCGCGCGGGTGCGTAGCCAGCACCAGCCAGCCCCTCCTTCGCCCCCTTCCTCTCCTCTACTTCCATGTCTCCCTCTTTCCCGGACTCCACCTCTTAGACGCGCCCACAGCCAGGCCCCGCCGGGCCTACCCAGCGCCGAAGGGTCCCCAGGTGCGCGCACCCGCAGCGAGCGGACGGGCGCGCGCACACACACACTCACTCAGCTCCGGAGGCCATGGCGCACGCCTCTCCCGGCCGGCGGCTGTGGTGGCCCGCGGGTAACGGCTACAAGGGGCGGCAGGCGACTGACTGGACCGGGGCTCGGCTCTCCTGGGCGGGTGGCGAGCGGCGGCGACAAACCCACAGGCAGCCTCCCTCTCGCTTCCTCCCAGAGGCACCCGTGCGGTGGGCGGGCAGGAGACGTTGGCTCCTGATCCGCGAGGCGGCAGCGGCAGCGACGACTCGAACGACGACTGCAGACGCTTCACTGAGACTGAGCCGAGAAGAGCCGAATCATCGGAAGAAGAGGTACTCTCACCTCAGCCAATCAGCGCCTGCTCTAGGGGCTCCCGCCCGCCTCTCGGCGCCTCTCCCCAGCAACCCACGAACCAGAGCCAATCAGGAAATTAGCTTTGGCCTCGCTCCCGCCCCAGGGATGCATCGCCACGTCAATTGGCCGCAACGCTACGCTTCCTTGACGGATTGGGACTCTCAGCCAATCAACGAAAGGAATGGGGCCAGATCGACGGGCGGAAGGAGTGTTTAATCCCTTGGAGGCGGACTCTCCCACTTGGCCCCAGTTCATTGGCTCCTGAGTTTATCCTACTGTAAAAACCTGGCACAATGGATTGAACCCTTGTATTAGTCTAGTATTGTTGTAATGATAACCTACAGACCTATCTTAGTCCCAAAATGAAGATTCACTCCAACCCCTCTTCTTGCTCCTTCAAAATGCTGGCTCAGGCCACCCCTACTCTGGACCCTTTGACTAGCACCCCAGCTCTTAATCCATTATATCCTAGTCATTGCACCCTCTGGTTAACCCTAATCCCACAAGGCTTTATAGTTCCTCAGGGTTTGGTGGTACATGCCTCCTCTTACCACTGGGTAATAATATTAATGGTTTGAGGAGGAAGGGCAGTCAAGTCCAGAGAGGAGTCAAAAGGCTACCATGGAACACAGCAGATCCAATAGAGCCCAAAGCGACAAGAAAATTGCATGCTGAGTTGAAGTCTTTGGACCCAAAATGCCAGCTAGCCCTGACTATATTCAATAGGCAGCTTTGGTGGCATACTAACTTGATTCACCCTTCATCCCTATCGACACAGACACATTTGACTGAGGCAGTCAAATCTCACATATCTAGAATTTGGTACTAAGGAGGGGGTGGGAAGTCACTGTGAGAAACTCAGGTCTGTTTGTCTTTCCCCCCCTAAGAATCAAATACCTGCCTTTGTCATGAGAGGCCACCTTCCAGATCCAACTCCATTCATTCTGTCAACTCACACAGGATCCTGGGCTTTGGGGCTCTGCTTTTAGGCAAAGGAAGGGCTAAAGCCTGCTTTCTGAGTAAGGATTCCTCCAGCCCTTTCTTCTACCCCAGACCTCAAGTCATAAGGTACATGATGTTGGGAGGGGGCACCTTAGACAACCAGCACTCAACTGAATCAAACAGCTGTGAGCCATCCCACTCAAGTATATGTAGTAGGCAGACAAGAGATAGATAATGAGGTTTTACTCAACACAACAAAAGGGGAAACGGGGAAAAAGGTGCCATGAGCAAAGTCAATGACTTGTTGGGTGGGGAGAGGGGTCCTCTGGAACCAGATGGCAATAACTAGGCCAAAAAATTTTGCAAGAGTATCACCAACCTCTCCAAAGCCAGACTTACATAGGAATGGTCAGTTCCAAACACATGCCCCCAGGAAAGCCCTCCCCACAGAAAGATGGCCCATTGGGGCCCCAGCTCAGACTCTTCAAAACTTGGCAGCTATAGGTCACAAGGCTCCAGCACAGATGTCTGAAACTCTTCAAGAAGGGTTTCACGGTCAGGAGGACGGATCCAACTCAAACAGGTTTCAAGGTACAGGGGAAGAGACCTGGAGAGGAAGAAGGGTGATGGCTAAGAATGAAGGATAGGCAGAAGGTTGGGCAACCACTCCCTCCCTTTCATTCACCACCACCCACTCCAATAGGCACAAGGATTCCAGGACACCAACTGCCCCTCACACCCAAGCCAGCAGGCCTCAGCCTCACCATGTAGCATTCTCCTGTGGCAACTTAGTTTGGGCCTCCAACCTCCGCCAAAGAGCAGTGACCTCATCCCTCCGATCCAGCCTCTTCAGGGTCTGAAGCAGGTGAAATGAAGCGTCTCCATTACCTGTAGTCCCAACCCAGAGTACAGAGTTTTAGAACTTGACCCATTTTAGGCATTTTATAAAAGGGGAAACTGAGGCATAAAGCAGGGAACTGTCTTGCCTACAGTCACATACTGAACCAAGAGTAGGTCATTCCCAACCATTCCTACCCCCAAGAAGGCCTGCCCTGGATAAAGGGCTCAACTAAATCTGCTCCTGGCCAACACTTTCCCAATGCCATTATAGTCTTTGTGTCTGAGAACACTGGGAAGACTGGATAACTCCTGAGAGGCCTTCATACACACTTATATATGTCTTGTATATGTCTGTACGCCTGGATATATCCCTAGGTATATACGGCACAATCCCATTCACCCTGCTATCTAGGAATATCACTCAGTACCTCCCCCATGGGCCTGTCATTATGCACCTGTGCATAGCTGACATCATGTAAATATACATACCTGGGCACACCTGCACACTGAGGAGGAAGTCCTGTAGTGCTTTGGTATCCTGGCCACTGGCCACCCATTCTAGTCCACGACTAATCAGAGCAGCAGCCCGAAGCTGTTGTAGTGCCACATCCGACATACACCCCTGTTCACAGTTGGAAGCAGGCCCTGGAGACAACCCCCAAAGTCAAGAAGTGTGTCCCCAGCCACAAAGTCACTAAGACCCCAAGTGCCTCTCTATCTCTTCTTGTGTCTGGAGTCCCTTTCTCTTAAATCTCCTGATAGGCTGGGACACATGGAAAGGGAACTGATATCCACCACCACTGCTTCCAGGAGAGAAGAGAAAAATTGAGTCTAGATCACCTTGCTCTTTGTCCTTAGGTGTGGCCCGGAAGAGCAGCTCAAGGCACCTGAAGTGGGGCATAGAGCAGGGGTGAAGAGGAGTCAAGCTCAAAAACTCTGGGGTGAACAGGTAAGAATGGAGCTCGCCAATTCAAGTCCAAATCAGAAAATTACCCCTCCACACTTCCCCTAGGGCCCTGGTTGGCTTCCTGGGCTCACCTGCTAAATTCACTAATTGCCTGTTTTGGGGCCCCTAGCTGCACCCAGGCTTGGCCCTGAAGCAGGAAAGTGGCAGAGACCCAGGGTGGGCAGTGTGTTGATTCCTTGGTTCCTTTTCTGGCATTGTTCCACAGCCAGGGCATCTTGGGAAGCAAAGATGATGTGCGGCTCAGCAGCTCCTCACATATGGTCAAAGCATCCTGAGCTCGACCTGCCTGGATCAGTGCTGCTGCTGCCTCCAAGAATACCTCAGGCATACATGGCCCTGGGGGGCAGGGCGGTGGAGAGAACTGGGGTGGGAGAAAGATGCAGTGTCTTGAACAAACATGAGCCACATCCCCAACCTCTTCACCAGGCTCTGGTACCACATGGAAACCACCCACTGTTTGCTGCTTTGGACTCCTTGCTCTGGGAAGCCTTCCTGGTCTGCCCTCCTCCCAGAATGGACAGACAAAACAGCAGAGGAAAAAGCAAAAGACAGCAGTCCTGTTCTATTCCAAAGGAGACTCCAACCTCCAATCCTTTCCCACCCCAACTGCAGAGAACCTTGAAGATATACCTACCTTTGGCTCCGAGCCATCTAACAGGGCCAGTAGGTCCAAGTAATGCTCTACAGCGTCCTCTGTCCTGAGGGGTCATAGCCCATGAGCCTTACATTAGACCCTTGCAGGGCCCTCCAAGAGCTCTTAAGTAAGGGATGGATGCTCAGGGGCCTTGAGGAGTGGGTCTCGGGGCTCAGTATGGATATGCCCTACTTACAGAATGGATTTGGGAGGAGTTTTAAAGATACAGGTTAGTGTCTGGGGGAAGCATTCAGGTCCAGTGGCAAGGCAGGAGGTTGAGGAGTGGGGACCTATATCCTGCCACTGACTCATCCACCCCTCTGACTTACAAGAACAGAAACAGAGGCATTGGAAGTGGGCAGAGGAGTTCATGTAAGCAAGGCAGAACCTCACCTTCCTGTCTGTAGGCATCGGCTTGCTAGCAGGTGTTTGACCTGGCTTGGTGTGCCACAGTGAAGGGGTGAGGCTGGGTCAGGTCGTGGGAGTAGCAACTCTACCTCAATAAGAAAATGGGGGGCTTCAGAGCTAGGAGTGACACTCAAGGCCTAAAAAGAACAAAAGAAGAAAGTATATCTATAATCTTTGGGAGCCATACTTCCTTCTACCTGTACCTTGACTAGTCACCTCAACACAAGCACCTCAGCAATCCCCATATCTTCAATTGGCATAGTTCCTTACCTCAAACAGAAGCTCCAGACTCTCCAGCTCTGCTGCTGTGTTCCCCAGTTGCCGATATAGCCTGGAGGCCTCCAGAAGCGGGGGACCACAGATTGATTCCCCTTTCAGGGCTGCAACCAAGTATAGCAGAGCTCTCTGTGGATTGCCCTAGAGGGGTGAGAGGACACAAGCCTCAGCCACCCTCACAAAGAAAAAAGTTGTCCATAATACTCATGGTTTCCCCAGCCCACCCTAACACTGTCTTTACCATCTTCCGGAGACAGGTCCCCAACGCTGTGTATACCTGGACCAACACAGGCCTTGGGCACAGACCTGAGGCCGCTTCATGCAGGCTGTTCAGTGCCCTGGGTAGACTCCCTGTAATCAGCTCCTGGAGGCCTGAGAGCAATCAGACTGTGAGCTTAGAGAGGCCCATAGTTCATGAGTTAAATAGGACATGACAGGAAAGTCATGAGCCTAAAGGTCCCTTAAGATGGGGAGTGGGGAGGAAGCAGTCAGACTGCTAACTGACCTTGGCGATAAGCAAATGCTGTCAGAAGGATATTCCTCAAGCCCTGGGCATCCTGCAGGGTCAATAGGTCATCTGATTCCTTAGCTGGGGGGCTCCAAGTTTTTAGAAGGAGCAGCAGATCCTCAGAGATCCCACTCTGAGGGGAGATAAGGACCAAAGAGGATCCAAGACTGTAACTATTTCTTCTCTTATCTCAGTCTACCCTGGACTGGGACTTGACTTCAGCAAGGTCATGAGAGCCCTAACCCCACCCAAGATTATTAAGCTTTTTTTTTTTTAATTGAAAGAGAGGGGGAGAGAGAGAGAAACATCTATTTGTCATTCCACCCATTTATGCATTCATTAGCTGACTCTTGCATGTGTCCTGACCAGGGAATAAACCTTGGCAAATCAGGACGACACTCCAACTAACCAAGCTACCTGGCCAGGGCATAAGCTATTTTTAAAATGCTCCAAAGAGAATCCCTCCAATGAGAGACTAACCAGAGCAAGGTGACCTAAGATTCCTTGAGAGAACCCAGGTCTTCTGACCACCAACCCAGCAGTCACTCCAGCACATAATGATGCTACTGCAGCTGGGAGGGGTGGGAGGTGGGAAAAGACTCTTAGATCCAGGTCACTTCCCAAATTACCTGGCTGCGATTCAGGGTCTGCAGCAATAAGGTCAGGTCCCCAAGATGGTCAGTGCTCAGCCAGAGGGCAGCCTGCAGGCCAGCCAGATGGTGAAGGGTGGGGAGCAGCTCAGGGAGAGAGGAGGAAGCATGGAGGGCACAGTTCCACAGCCCCCTGAGCCCATGTTCCAGCCTGGGCTCCAGCTGCTTCTGGGTCTCCAGCACTGTAGAGTACACACACACATACAGCTAAGATAAGACCTCATCTTTGGCTTTCCTTTTTTGCAGGAGCCCAAAGACCACAAAGGTGCTCCTGGTCTGAGGAGTGCATGGAGGATCACAGAAGGGCATCTCTCTTCCTGGAAGTGACAGATTATGTTGCTCCTCCCATCCCCCATGCAAGGACTTAAACCCAGACTGAGACTGGCAGGGGCATGGGAGGCAATCTCTGGCCCTTACCTCTCTCTAGGCCCCGTTGGATATCCTGTGCCTGGTCCTCAGAGAAACCCTGGGCCAGGCTTGCCCTCAGGGTAGTGAAGTTGCAGATGACAGTCAATTCCAAGGGGAGAACAAAAACATCTGCAGGGAGCCCTAGAGCAACAAATGCTGGTCTCACAGGCTGCTCCCCCTAAAAGATTCCCTGAATAAGATCCCAAATCAGAGATTACCCCAGCTCCACCAAATGGCCTCAATAAAGAATGCACCCATTGGACAGTTTGGAAAGGGCAGAAAGTTCTTCAGATTAGATTGTTCTGGGAACCACTTCTTCAAATGCTGCTCTGTGTGTGTGTATAAGAGGAGATTCACCTGTACAAAGATGATCCACTCCAGTCCTGTCTGTGCCTTAAACAAGCCCCCCTGTCCACTGAGTAATCACCTCAATCCCAGAAATGGAGTAGAGGAACTGGCCTTTGGCTGTGGAGGGGGCAGGGGGTAGGGAACTGACCATCCTGGAGAGGACTGTGCTTACCCTGCAGACTATGGAGGAGTCCCCTGAGCCCTTCCAATGCATCTTGAGCCAACTGCTGTCGCCTCAGAGACAGACCTAAGTCCTGAGCAACCTGCCGAATGTGGGGTGGAATGTTACTGAGAATAAGTCCTTTCCTCTACCCCTGCAGCAGTGGCAAGGGATGTCATTCTCTAGTCACTTCTGGCTTTAGGGGGGAGGTCAAGCTCAGCCCCTCCCCATTTGCTGGGGTAAATCCACAGACAACCCCCTTTCTGGTATTTTGGGGCTGCAAAGCGAGGTCCAAGCAACCGCATTACCTTGGCCTGTCGAACTAGCTGGTCATTCTTTTCCCTCCACAGGTCTAGGCAGTTGGCTTGTGGCACTGAGGTGGCCAGGGGCGTCTGGCAGGACATGGCCGAGGCTGGGCCCGGACACCTAGAGAGGGCTGCAAAAGGGTTAGCCTGTCCCCGCCAAAGCCCCCACCCGAGGGGGAGGGGCCCGTGCCCTAACGCGGCTACTCTGCTCCCCTCTTGGGGGAAACAGTCTCTCCTCGCAGCCTGGGCAGGCTCTCGCCCTCGCCTCTACCACCCTCGCCTCTGGTTGGCCTGGCCGGCAAAACTCTAGGCTGCGGTTGGTCGTCTTCAAGGGACAGTCCCCGCGGGAAATTAGAAAAAGAAACGATTCCAGACAGACCAGTGTGGAAGACTGAGGGCCGGAGGTCGAACACCAGAGCGTATCTGAGAGACGAGTTTGCACTGCTCGCCGTTCCACCCGCTCGACCCTCGCGGAGGCCTCGAGAGCTCGCTATCGAAAACAGCGCCCGCAGGCTCAGTCCTTGCCTCGCAGCCACCCTTCCAGGGCTGCTGCGTTTCCCCTTCCTCCGCCGAGGGCAGGCCGGCGCGATGCATGCTGGGAGTCGTAGTACCCCAGACAGACGCCAGAAAAGTCCCGGCCGGAAGAAAGTGTCTTGAAAAGAAAAGGAATTGACGGGAGACCGAGGCCCTGGGTAATCTGAGCCATCCTCTCTCTGTTCACCATGGAGCATGAACACTCTCACCACAGTTTGCTCAACCGCCTGCAGTCTGACTGCTGGCAGCGCGGCCCTGTGTCTGTGCAGCCTGCACTGCTCATGGGTACAGTGAGCAAATGCAGCTAGGAGAGTTGGATAGCCTTTCAGCAAATGGAGCGAAGATAGTTGGATATCCTTTCAGCAAATGCAGCTAGGAGAGCTGGATAGCCTTTCAGCAAATGGAGCTAGGAGAGTTGGATATCTATATGAAAACAACAACAAAAAACCTACAGCCATTACTATACATAAAGTCAACTCAAAATGGATAGGTTAGACTTCGTTAAAATGAAAAACTCTTATGCTACAAAGACATCATCAAGAAAATTCAACCACAAAGTGGTAAAAAATTATTTGCAAGTCATATAATTCATAATGGACTTGTATCCACAACATATAACTCTCAAAGCTCAATAATAAAAAGACTTCTGTGAACCATTTTAAGGCAAGCAGAAAAAATATGAATAAACATTTTATCAAAAAATGAATGGCTAAGAAGCACGTAAAAAGATGCTCAACATTATTAGCTATTAGGGAAATACAAATTAAAATCATGAGATACCACTATGCACGTACATATACAGAATGGTTACAATTAGAAAAAAATACAGATAATGGTGGGAATTCAAAATAGTACAGTTACTTTGGAAAACAGTTTGGCAGTTTCTTTAAAAGTTATTCATAAACTTATCATATGACCCAGCAATTCTACTCCAAGGAATCCCCCCAAGAGAAATGAAAACATATGTATACACCAAAACTTGTATGCAAATACTCATAACAGTTTAAAAGTATATATTCACAATAGCTAAAAACTGGAAATAATCCAAATGTCCATCAGTTGGTCATAGCCATGCAATGGAATATACACTCAGTGATAAACGGGCAAAAAGTGATACATGTACCAACATGGATGAACCTTAAGACATTCTAAGTCAGAGAAGCCAAACCAAAAGACCACATATTGCATGATTCCTGTGGATGAAAAGGGGCCACATGCTAACCTAACTCAGGGAAAGCCTGCATGGCGGCCTTGCAAACTCAGAGACCTAAAGGATGGTCTGAAATTAAAACTTTTTAAAAAATATATTTTTATTGATTTCAGAGAGAGGAAAGGAGAGGGAGAGAGAGAGAGAAACATCAGTGATGAGTCATTGATCGGCTGCCTCCTGCATGCCCCCGACTGGGGATCGAGCCCACAACCTGGGCATGTGCCCTGACTGGGAATCAAACCCCCATTGCCTGGGTCCTAGGTTGACGCTCAACTGCTGAGCCACGCCCGGCCGGGCTGAAATTAAAACTTTTTAACAAAAGCAGCTTATGGTCATGTGCTAGGCTGGCATCTTCCCTGACAAAGGCCAATGTTTACCCTGAACCTGTCTATTGTCTTTTTGCACCTATGATAACCTATCTTTGGAATGTCAAAGTAATTTTCCTTTTTCCAGACCCCTCAAAGCACAGGCACAGCTCTGCAGAAACCACAAATCCTCTCATTGTTATTGTTGACTGTTAACTTATCCTATACCCACCTATGTAAATGTGTCTATCATTTTACTTTTTATCCAATCCCAGAGGTTTCTCCTGCTTTCCTTTCTCCCATCTCCCTAATCTATCACCAATGGATTTCATGTAACCCACATATGCCTGTCCTCTCTTTTGATTGAAATGTGTAAAATAAGGTGTAAACCTGCCATTTTCCAGAGCATTCCCTCAATCCTTTGAGATTTTACTTCCTGGCAATTGTCGACATTTTGGCTCAAATAAACTTACCAAAATTCTTCACAAGTTGGAATGTTTCTTATGTTGACATTTACTAGGCGTAGTGAGGCAGGATTCCAAAGAAGCTCACCCAGGACCACCACCCCTGGACCCAGGACAAGTGCTAGGATCCAGCAAAGGGCTGATTGAGCTCGCTGGTTTCCTGTCCATCAGGTAAGCTTGGATGAGTTGTCTCTTGGATCCAGGATCTTCCCTTGCTTGTGGTTGACTTTATTTGAGCTGTATTTTTAAATCCTCGAGGTAGAACTAAGGTTAAGGGTTGACAGAACCCAGGCTAATAAGAAACAGGTGGGAAAATGGGTGGCTGGTTTTTAACTCTGGCTTTTCCATTGGAATTGCCTTGTGAGAGTCTGAGCAAAAACCTTTCCTGTATAACTGAGTTGAACTTGTTCAGCTCTGAAGATAAAGGGGCACGTCATTCCTTCAGCTTGTATCTCAGGTATTCTTGGGCAACTAACAATGTTTGTGGAGGTGTCAGGTAATTCCTCACAACATGCAGGAGCCCCATAGGGAAATTCCAATTCACTGTAACTAAACTGACTGGCTTTTCCAGTGGAGCGCCCATGAAGTTTGGTCAACCAATGCCTGAGCCTTTCTAGTTGTTTTAGACAGCTGGGAGAGAAACCAAGGCACATAAGAGGGTTGACTGCGACTCAAGGGGTGAGAATCTCATGGAGATCAACCCATAAGCAGCACACTTTGATACATTACATAACATCTCTAGGAAATTTGCTCACATATCAAAAACAAACTAACAAACAAACCTAAAATTAACATGGGAAGTTGTGCCTTCAAGGCTGGGACCTCCCAGACCCCAGCCCTCACTAATGCTCCTAATTGGAAGACTTTACTTACAAGTGCTTTACAGAAATGGGAAGATTTAACTAGAAAATATCAACATAAAAATGGCCAAAATGCAGTTGTCTTTGGGTGCCTAAATTAATTTTTTTTTGCATGGAAAATAAAAAATTAGAAAAATGACAGCTATAAAATTAAACTGAATGAATGAATGGCAAGTGCATCTTGATTTGGAAATTAGAAGCTTCTAAGGAGAAGCACAGATAAATTCTTTTTTTAAAAAAAAGACATTAGCCCTAGCTGGTTTGGCTCAGTGGTTAGAGTGTCAGCCCTGGGATCAAAGGTCTCGGGTTTGATTCCACAAAGGGCACAACCTCAGCTGCGGGCTCCATCCCTGGCCTCAGTCGGGGCGCGTGCAGGAGGCAACCAATCAATGTGTCTCTCTCACATCGATGTTTCTCTCTCTGCCGCACCCTCTCTGAAAAGCAAAGGAAAAAATATCCTCGGGTGAGGATAAAAAAAAAAAAAAAAAAGACATTAATAAGAAATTTTAGAGACTGTTTGAATAAATGCCTACAAGCCATTCTTCCCTCTTGTATAGATCCTCTGCTATATCCTTTGCTCTTTGAGCTTCCTTGTCTGGACTTGCCCTTCCCCTCCCATCTCCCCCACTACCATTCCCTACTGACTTAAGGGAAAATGAGAATAGAAATTCTAACAGCTCTCTTTGGAGAAAAGCCGGTCTTAGCCAGAGAGGAACCAGTAATTGTTCCTTTCTCCGAGACCCTGATGGGTTCACAAAGAAATTTAACTGTTAGAACATGTAATCCTGGCTATTCTAACCTATTCCAATTAATATACCTACTGGTTTCTGGCAGCAAAAGCAACAGAATTACTAAATAAGGTTTGCAAGAGAACTCCTGTAGAGAAATTTATCTGCTTTAAGGATTATAGGAAACAAAAATAGGATTTAGAAAAAGAAAACAAACAAAAGGATAGGGTTGATCCAAGGGTGAAAGTTTCCCCTCCTCACTGATAGTTTGGGAGAAGTTGAAATTATCATAAAAAGGAAAGCCATTGAAGCCCCTGTAGATACCGGGGCTACTTTATTTGCTCTTAACCACACCCAATTAATTGTCTTCTTTGGAGTAAAGCTTCTGCACAAACGACAGGAATATTTAACTAATGTCTGTGTTGTTTTTTAACATTTAGAAAAAAAAATTTTTTTGATCCTCACTTGAGGATATTTTTCCCATTGCTTTCAGAGAGAGTGGAAGGGAGGGAGAAAGAGAGAAACATCGATGTGAAGGAGACACATCGATTGGTTGCCTCCTTCACGTGCCCTGACTGGGGTTGGGGATTGAGCCTGCAATGGTGGTTTGTGCCCTTGGTGGGAATCAAACCCAGAACCCTTCAGTATGAGGGACGATGTTCTAGCTACTGGGCAAAACCGGCTAGGGCAACAGATGTCTGTTTTTAAATCAAAACCTATTTCCTTCCAACTAGAAAACGTTATGGGAATATGTATCTTTCCTAATCAAATCTGCTCCAATTCACTTGATAGGGTGAGGGGTGTGTGTGTGTGTGTGTATTTAAATCAGAGATGCCCACATATGCTTTTGCCAGAAGGGTAATATGTATTTAGAACTGAATGAACCAGATACTGAATCAAAAGGGGAAAACGATAATTTTAAAGGAACCTCCCAAGAGAAAACTAACCTTCAACTAACTGAACATTCCATAACAATCTTTTCTTCATTAACTTCCATGAGAGCCTAAGAGACAGCTCAACAGGTTACCCACCCCACTCAGAATAGCCCAAACTCTCGGCTTGCTCATATATCTCTCTGTAGATGGAGAACCAGTCCACAGTGCCTTGAGTACCCTTTTGGGGTACATACTCACCACCTGGGAGAAATCTGACCTTGAGTGCAAGAAAAAGGCTAATTTTGTTTTGTAACACAGCCTGGTCTCAATATAAAGTGGGCAATGGAGAGGTTTGGTCAGTTAATGACACCATTAATTTCATTTTTATTTTTAAAAAATATCTTTATTGAGAGAAAAGAGAGGGAGAGAGAGAGAAACATCAGTGATGAGAAAGTCACTGATCAGCTGCCTCCTGCACGCCCCCAACTGGGGATCAAGCCCGCAACCCTGGCATGTGCCCTGACCGGGAATCGAATCCCAATCGCCTGGATCCTAGGTTGACGCTCAATTGCTGAGCCATGTCTCGCTGGGTGATACCATTAATTTTAATACTATCTTGCAGCTAGGACCTGTTTTACCATTCCCAAGGTAAATGGACAGAGGTTCCATGTATCAAAAAGGTTTTATGGCTCTCAGAGGCCA